CTTACCCCTACCGTGAGGACAATCTGGGTAACTTGTGCTGATTCATAGATCCTTCTCCTTGCCTCAGGGATGCTTGAGATAGGAGCCTGTGATCCCAGTTTGTTATTTTAATTTTTTATTTCTCTCTCTCTCTCGGCTGCAGCCATGGGACATAGGGGTGGAAAACCAGTAAATTTGGCCACATAATGGCTTCACAGGAACTTCTGCCAGCAAACGGGCAAATGAAAAGAGTTACTTTATCCCCAAGCTTCCTCCTGAAGCTCTGAACCCTTCTCCCTCCCACTACAGCCCCCTGCCACGTGCAAACATGCCTGTCTATCTGACTTCCACTTTCTGCTCTCCGGCAGTGGGCGGGCTTTAACTCACCTCACCTTAACTCCTGAACGAGTGGGCGGGCTCTCCAGTATTGGGTGGGCCGCTTCTGCTGACTCTCACTCACCCTAACTCACCTTAACTCCTCCCACTCGTTCTCAAGCTGCCTCAAGAGGCACAGAGGGGCCTGGAAGCGGGCTAGGATCCATGCAATAAGTTCACAGTTATCAGGATGGCTCTTAAGCCAGAGATCAGTTTATAGCCTGCCTCCTGGCAGGTCTACCTGCCCGACATAGGACTAAAACTTAAGCATCTGGAGAGCAAGGCTCCTGACCCCACAGGTGAAAGTGTCATCTGTGGCACTTAAGGTATACCAGGGGAGAGAGATAAAAAAGCCTGAGAACAAAATTGCCTAGTGCTGGCATACACTGGCTCCCAAAAGCTGTTCAGTTCCTGTTTTAAGTGAGGGGAAAAAAGAAGGCCACACGGACTTGTGCGTGCCCTGCCAGGCCAGGCCATCAATTGAGCCTTGTTCAAAGTGCTACCTAGAAAGACAACCAGTCAGCTGACTGCCCCGAAGGCACCAAGAAGCAGGGGGACAGACAAAGACCTCCAGCAGACCTAGGCTTGGTCACAGGCTCACAGAGAACCCAGAACACAGCACGGAAACGATCCATTTCTTTCCTTCTGGACACCAGAGCCATTAACCCGGTCCTGGGAGCTTGGGGGTCTCACCTCTCCTCTTTTCCCTATTGTCAGGGTAGGGAGGACAGCCTTACCCACCTCACCAGACTTAATTGTACTTTCAGGGTTACTTAACGGGAAAAGATTTTCCAGCTAAGGTAGGAGATTTCATTTCACTGCTCCCTCCATGCGCCTCACTCCAGACCTGTCACAGTGCTGCTTTCTCTTCCTCATGCACACAGACAGGGCCCTGATCTCTGCCTTGTCCCTAATTCCAAAGAAATAAGTTCTCATGCACCACAAGCTTTTTTCTTCCCAGATCCTTCTTCTAACTCACTGCTCAGCTAATGGTGCAGGACCACCACAGAACTGGAGTCCAGAGATCATCGAGTAAGAAACTGTAACAGCTAAAAGGTATTTATACCCCCAGACCCAAAAGTGTCTGGGCTCTGCAAAAACAGACTTTGATCTGGGCTCTACAAAAACAGACTTTAATATAACCATCTATTACTGTTAAATGCTCTCAACAATTGATCATCTGTGTCTCCTGGATGCTAAACTAGTAAAGGAAACAGGTGCCTTAAATAATCTGTCTCTGATAAAGCTTAAAGACATGCTCTAATCTCTCTGTCTCTCTCATTAACACTAACCAATACAAGCAGAGTACTAAACACTACCATGGTCACTAATTTTCTCATGGCTGCTTCTTAACATGTTCAAAATTTTCCCAAGCTCCAGAAACCAGCTTAAATCCATCTGGACAGGTGGATCTACTTCGGGCTTTTCCTGTCTCCTCACCAGCATCCTGTCAGACACAAAAGCAGCCAGAGTGCCAAGCCAAGAGGGATGGACGGCTCCAGGGCAGCAGGACAGCCCACCATCCCAAGACGCCTGTCTACCTCAGAAGACTCCCCCCTCCCTATTCCCCCTCAAGAGCCAACCGACGCCCACCAAGTCAGCTGGAAGCAGTTTTTCCAGGAGAAATGACGTCCCTATTCCCATTCACTCGCTTTTTTATAATAAGCAAGAAGTCTGCAATGTTAGGATCCTGTACATGCACAGCTTGGAGTTTTGTGTCTCGCGTCTTACATCATCAGCAGGTTCTGGCAAGTAGGAACTCACCTTGTGGTCATGCAATCCCTGCCTTAAAAAGCTGGACGCGGACCCCCACCCCCTCCCCCCCCATTTCCTCTCTGCTCTCTGCTCTGCTCCCTCCCCCATCTTTCTCTCTCACCAGGCCTGGTCCCCTTCCCCATACCCATTTCCCCTCCTAATAAAGCTCTAAAAACTAACACTGGGTTCTGCCGTGGCCGTGACTTTTCCGCCGGTAACCAGCATCACCAACCAGCACTGTTTTACCAACACCTTTGTGCATCGAGCCCACACAGTAGACACCATCTTTAGCTATCTGCTGTCAGTAGCCACAGGGGCTGTCAGGCTGATGTTCAGAGATCTCTGTGCTTGTGCACGCCACCCCTTATCCATGGTTCCCAGAGCACAAAGCAGCAATGATGGAATTGAGACCCGCAAGGAGAAGCCAGGAAGTACTTCCTTGAAGCAGAAAGGGGAAAGTTTTCAACTTAATAATGAAAGAAAATTGACCACATGCTGTTACTAAGGTCCACAGCCCACTGAATCTATGTGTAAACTCCACAGCTAGTTTTGCTGCTGTGCCTGGAGCTGCCGAAGTCCACCCACAACACTGGTGAGTGCCTGCAGTGGGGGAGGCCATACACAGGGACAATGTACTCAGGGTTTGGGCCGTACAGGATGTCCACAGGCATCTCTTCAGTGTCTCCCTTGGATGATGGCCGAGCCACTGTTGGTAATACCTCTATGGAGGTGTATCCTCCACAGAGTCTGCATCCTCTCTAGGGCTCTAGCCTGGCCTGTGAGGACTGGTAGGCGGAATGTGCAGTTCTGGGCACACAGTGGCCTTGGAGGTAGGACCCACAGAGACTCTGAAGGGACCCGGCAGCCATAGAAGCCAAGAGTTATCTGCACTATGCTCTGGGGCCAGAACCCAGACTTTGGAAAAAGCTTGTCCCTCAGGGTGAAACACCCCCACTCTGCCACACTTCCTAGAGGGATGCAACAACAGTACCTTCCACAGCTATCACTTCACTGGAGAGAGCTTTACAGTCACCACAAAGGCACCTGGAGGCTGCAGCTGGAAGACCTCTGGGGGACCTGAGACTGTGAACTTGATGCTGACATCAGGGGCTCTTGGGACACTTGACAAGGAGGCACATCCTGGCCCAAGCCACACCCCGAGGAAGGCTTCTTTTTCTCTATAAGGGCTACAGTACGAAGGGTGGTGGCCTTCATGTGCATATGGTTTCAGCAACTTGGAAAGCTGAAACAGGAAGATCCCTTGAGTCCAGGGGTTTGGAGGCCATCCTGGACAACAGAAGACCTCATCTCAGACCAAGCCAAAACAGAAGCAAAACAAAACCCTAGGAAAGGAGGCAGGCACCACTGGTAGCAGGGAGACAGGGAAAGGCAAGGTTCCTCCCAAGCTTTGATGATGAAAAGCCTCTTTTGGTGGCCAGAGGTAGTGAGTGGGTGATGAGGAAGAGTGATGAACAGTCTGTTGCCTTGGCTACCTGGACCTATTTCTGGCTACAACAGCATGTGAGCTGGGGTTTGATTTGGGTTTTGGGGAGAGGGCCAGGGATATTTCTACTCCCTGGATTCAGAGTCCATCCCACAGATGTGCCGACTAACCATCATATGTGGAAGGGTGCTCTATCGGATGGAGGAGGGGGTGCCCTGGACACTTGTCTGTGCCCCACCTTGCCAGCTGTTCACAGGAAGAGGAAGGATGCGGAGGCTATGATACACTCAGTGTAAAGAGTCAGGATGGTCACCCTGAGCTTCCTGCTTGTGGAAGTCCTGAACCAACCACTTGGGGTTTCCTAGAACTACATTCAAGGGCAGGAACCCTAAAACACATGCCGTCTCCTTGACCTTAAGTCTCCTGAGAAAAATCTCAGTCTCTATTGAAAATAGGAGTGGCAGTCCGAAAGCCTGCCCTTCCCACTCAGACACTCACATATCCATCACAGCTAACACAGAGAGCTGTGCCAGCAGTGACAGCACACTGCGACTCAGCCCCACTGTCTTAAGGATAGCTGCATTGTGCACTGTGCAGCAGGGGGCGCTGGTCAGCCCATCAGCATTGAGACAGCTTCTCGCAGGAAACCCAGCTACAGTCATCTACAGATCAAGTGTTGACTTTTTGGTTCAAAAGCTTACTAGTGTACGGCAGGAGTGGGCAAGCCTTTCATGAACAGCGCTAGCAAATCAGAGGCCAGCAGGCCACACACACTCTCTCTGCTACCCCATTGCAAAGCACTCACAGGGAAAACGGCAGGCAATGAGTCTGGCTGTGTGCCAATATATCTATTTTCAAAGTAAGTGGTGGGCCACAGCTTGCCAATACTTGCTCTGAAGGGATTTTGTTTTCCAACTTCATCTAAGGTGGATTGCCTCTATATAAGAGTTCACATAGAACATTAGCAATGATTAGCTTTACAGTTAAAAATCCCTCTGTGGACACAGACAACGTGTATTTCAAAGGGCTAGAAGGAAGGATTTTGAACATTTTAAACATAAGAAGTAATAAATGTTGGAGGAGGTAGATGTGTTTTCCCTGTCTAGAGTATTACACAGCATGTACACTGAAACACAACACGAATGCACATGATTTTATGTGTCAGTTAAAATTAATTACAGATTTACATATGCCTGTGACAGAAACCGACAGCTAAGTACAGGCAGTGGCACCACTCATTTCCAAAGTGGTTTAGATGGACCACTGTCTCTAATGCCACTATGCTAGTGAACACATATACATGCCTACCGAGCATGGCTGTGCAGAAACCATGGCTGCTCCCTGTGTGTGCATGAGCTCTAGGCAGCTGTCCACACGTCACATCTCCAGTGCCTCCTCCGTCCCTCCACACCGCCTTACCCCATCCTGTCCCAGGAGCTGGACAAACCTTGTTCTCTCTGCTGGTCTCTCTGTTCCATAGACACAAGGGCTGAGAAGTGCGCTTGATCGTAGGCCAGGACCAGGGGCGAGCAGTGGCACCTGTTGGGAGGCACCTCCAAGGGCAGGTAGATCCCTCCAAATGGGATGGGTGCAAACGCTGTGGACACAGACATGGGTGGAGGTGGAGGGGAAGAGTGGGAAAGGGGGTCCAGAGGAAGGAAGGGGTGGGTTGGCGGGGGGCGGGGAGGGAGAGGGAATGGGGGAGCAGAATTAGTGCTCAGGGTCAGGACTGAAGGTTTCCATGGCGATCTGTCTGGGTAGCCTGCTCCCGAGAGCCTCGCCATTGTCAAAAGAGTGTCAGGGTCAGGGCTAAGACCATTGCCCAGGATGGCCAGCGATGTCACCCACTGGCTTGCCTACGTCCATGCTGCCCTTTCTCTTCTGGTGTCACTGGCAATGTTCACACACGGGCAGGAGAGTGTGCCTGGTGCATATTTTGAAAACAACTTCTGCAGAACAGAAGGGACTAGCCAGAGAGCTCTGGTGCTGAGCTGCAGATCAGGTGGAACATAAGAAGTAGAGATGCTGTCTTTGTGTGATGAGATACCAACCTGTTCATGCTCTTAGGAAGAACTAGGGAAGAGAAGCCTGAAACCATGTCCACGAACACCTGCCCCAAGCAGTAGCTGACTCTTTTCTTTCCTTCTTTTATTCCCCACTGAAATAGGGTCTCATGTAGCCCTGACTCACTATGTAGACTGAAGATGGTCTTGAACTTCCAGTTCTCTGGGCTTGGCCTCCTTGAGTGCTGGAATTACAGGCATGTACCACCATGCCCATTTTATGTAGTGCTGGAATGGGACCAGGGCTTCGTGCATGCTAGCTAGGCAAGTGGTCTAGTCCCTGAGCCAACGCCCCCCTCCCCCAGGGTAGCAGCTGGGGTTTGATCATGAAGAACATTGCCTTCGGCCTCAGAGTGGGAATTTCACCCTCCTTGGAGCAGGGTGCAGGGACCTTTAGAATGGTCTCTGAGGACCTTTTAGTCACCAGCCCCCCAGCTCAGTCTGCACTGGGCAGGCTGATTCTGCCAACATAAGAACCCTGTTTTGAGGGCTGTAGTGAGGGGAGGAACATGGACAGGCGGCAGAGGGCTGCTGGCTCTGGTGCTGGGCGGCAGGGAAGAGAGAGTGCTAGGCAGGATGCAAGTTCTGCTAGCCCCCGCCTTCCCAGCAGCCACCGCCATGCTGGTCTTTCTCTGGCATGAAGCTGATGCCTGACTGGCTGGGCTCCGGGAGGTCCATGACTTCTACTATGGGGTAGATTTAAATTTAAGTGGAGCTGAGTGACATGCCGCAGGGTCACTTGACTGGCATGCTGTAGTAAAGGGATGTTGTGGACAGTGCCGTCTTTAGACGTGACAAACAAGGAAAAACGGCAGCAGGAGCAAACTGGATTGCACCCGTGCCGACAAGGAGAGTGGAAAATGAACCACGATGGGGGAAGTGCTGGGAGCGGGGTCTGCCGAGTGGGGCAGGGATCTGGTGATAACTCTCCTGGCTCTCCCTCTCTTCTGCCTCTTCAGAGCATGGCCAGCCCCGTGGAGTCTCGGGCATCCTCACTACAGCCCCCTGGACTCCCAGAAACCTCAGGCTCAGGGATGACATGTAGGGTCTACGCCCTGTCTCGGGCTGAACCTGGATGGGGACATTGTCTAGCCACACTGGGGGCTTCAGTGTGCTTATCTATCTGGAGACGGTTGGGTGAAGGGCTGAGGGAGGGGTCATTCAAGAGGAAGTCGTGCATGGGCCAGGGTCTCTGCAAACAGACAGCAGCAGCAGCTTGGCTACCCCTGCAGTTCCCAATTCTTCACCACCCTCCAGAGCCTCACACTCTGCCTTCCTTCCTTTCCTCTCCCATACTCTAGCCTGCAGAACCTCTGGAACAGGGCCTGGGGCTTCGGGAGGGATCTGTGTTGTCTGCGGTGGTTGGGAAGACTTCTCATAGCCACCTGCTGGTGTCATGCTGTGCTGGAGGAAGAAGAGACCCATGAAGTAATGCTATCTGTGTGTATGTCTTAGAGTGACACGATGACCCTGCCTATGTGCAGGCAGATGCCACCCTTTCTGGACCACCATTAAATATGGCTCCTTGAGGATCCTACCTTCGCCACCGGAGTCTCTTAGCATGGTGTCTGCCACCACCACAATGGGTCTCCGTAGTATGTGGGCTAGGACGAAGACATGGAACTCTTCCAGGCTTTCATACACAGGGTCCTCAGAGTTGTCCACACTAGGAACAAAATAGAGTGATCTCGTCATGAGACTAGACTGGGGTGGGGAACAGGAAAGGCGGGGACTCTGAGTAGGGACCGAGAACCCCCAAACACTGCGCCCTATCTACCAGGACCTGAGGGACCTTCTAGGAACAGTTTCTGGGAAGAGATCACGAGAAAGCTGCCTGCATCCTACCCTGGGGGAGGAAGAGGCTGACTGCGCAGCTGCACACTCAACCTCCCCAGTCTGGGTTCAAGCTCCTGCGGAGCCCTGGGGGTAGAGTAGGCCCCAAGAACTGCTGTCATCCAGACTGTGAGACACTGGGGCAGGAGACTGTGATCTAGATGTCCCTCAACAACAGGGCCACCCTCCAAGGAAAGAGAGCCGGAGCTCTAGATGGTGGGGACTTGTGTAAGTCTCCTGGATGTGATGGCAGTGTACAACAGCAACAGGTGATGGACTCCTCTACGGGTTTCAGTATCCTGGGGCTTCTGGAATCAGCTCCTCAAAGTCATCAAGGGAGCAGGGATGGCTGTAGGCCCTGGGCGACTGGGAAAGAGCTCCGTGTTCAGAGTGCTGACCGCCTGCCTCCATCACTCCCAACAAAGGCTGCAAATCCCAAGAAACGCACCATGCCTTTGGGGGAGATTTGATGTTACATTATGGTTTTCTTTCTTTCCTTCTCTCTTTCTTCTTTCCTTCTCTCTTTCTTCTTTCCTTCTCTCTTTCTTCTTTATCTTCCTTCCTTCCTTCCTTCCTTCCTTCCTTCCTTCCTTCCTTCCTTCCTTCCTTCCTTCCTTCCTTCCTTTTTCCTTTTTACGTGGTGGCCAATGAACTTAACAGTAAAATATGTGGCAGCAGCCAGAAATCACAAAGTCACACAGAACCATCTGGAAGTTATTCTCCAGCTTTCCACTTCTACTCTGAGGGGGGTCAGAGTGCTCCTTGTTTACAGGGCCACCTTTGACATACCAGGACATAGCCGTCAAAATGAAGGGCTAACATCCAGTCACCAGGCCTGCTCACAGTGGTCCCAGCAACCCTTTAAGATGCAGGACCCAGCTCAGGGTCATGAGCTGCTTTCTCCTGGGTCTTTTCAGTCTCCTTTGGCCTGCAATGCTGCTCAGTATTTCCACAACCACGGCTCTTCTGAGATGATGAAGAGTACAGGACAGGTGTCTTGTGGAACTTTCTCAGCCTGGGTCTCTATATTACCTCACCATGTTAGCCTAGGGTTTGCCAAGTCATCCTGGACTGTCCTCTCAAGTGGTGTGATGTGCAGGTTGTCCTTCCTCAGTGGTGGGGCCTTGGTCACTGGCTCTTCTTCCTCACAGAGCTGCTCAGGTCACCTCTGTAATCAACACGTGTTCCACAGGGGAGCTTGGAACCTCTGCATATCTCCATTTCACAAGCTTGTTGATAGCACTGTGGATTTCTGGTCCTATACTTTTATTAAATGATTTGTAATCCACTTATGATACCATGATCTTCAGATATGCTTTGCTTTGGTCACAGTCGCTTATTTCAGCTTGAACTGTGTCCTTATGACATCTTCTTGTCATTCTTTTGGATCACTTCCTTGTTTCCTGGCACAAGAAGATGGATCATGTGTGCACATTATTGTCCTCTCTGTGGCTGGCCAGATGGGTACGGGGATTATGCTCATGAGGGCCAGAGTTAGGACCCTCAGAACCCAGGCACAAAAGCAGGCAGGTATGGAGGCTGCCTGGAATCCTAGCACTTGTGATGCAGAGATGGGACTGCCAGGGCCAGCTGGTTAGCTAAGGCTAGACAAATTGGCAAGCTCCAGATGTAGTGAGAGAACGTACCTCAATAAATAAAGAAGTGGCCAAATGAGGAAGACACCAGGCATTAACTTTGGGCTTCTACATGCATCCATGTGCCTGTGCATATGAGAATGCACATCTATTCACACCTTCCCCAAGCAAAACAGAGAACTCTGTAGGTTCTCCACCCAGAGATTCAACTGAGATAAGCAGCACTAAAAGAACTGGATGCACTTTTTCATAGTCCCTAGATATAATACACTTCCCCCCTTCAGAACTGTCTAGTTTCAGGCAACTTGTAGCAATAGAAAGCACTATCATACTGATTGCTGTTCTTCTCTTTTCTCCCACCTGTGCTTGCCCAGAAGAGATTCGGTCTCCTTGGCGAGCGTGGGAAGTTCAGCAGTGAAGGAAACACTGGACTGGAAGGAACACCCGGGACTTGGAGGGCGTGGAACAGACAAGAGCTATGTTTTCAGGAACAAGTCTTCAACTATGCCTGCCTGGACCCAGGATGGACTGTTGGGGCTGATGTGTCATCTCAGTAAAACAGCAATGAGCAACCTGTAGGAACTGTGGGTTTCTGCACTCAAGAGTCTCAGGTTGGAGCGCGTTCCATGTGGTCCCACTGCAGGCTCTGTTGAACCGCGTCCTCCAGCTGGAGCCTCAGAGGGCTAGGCCCCGTGGGCACCAGCCCACTGTGGTGGGGTGCTGATAGCCAGAGGCTGGCCAGGAGACGTGCAGATCTGTGTTCTTGGTGTCCATATTCATTCTTTGTGCTGAGGCAGAGACCTTTTCTGGGGTGGTAACTTTCCCTTCAGGATGAAAGAGCAGAAATCAAAGAATGCACCTTCTGAAATTTCATGGCCAAATGTCCCACCGTGTGCCTGTTGGTCTGGCCTGTTCTTCATTCCCACAGTGGAACGTTGGTGCTGACCTGCAGGAGCAAGCTCTTCTTGAATGCATACAGCGTGCAAAGCCTTTGTGCTAAGAACACACGTGATATCCGTGGAGTCCATTGGGAAGCGCTGGGTGGTTTGGTGGGCTCTTGCTTCCAGTGGGACTTGGAAACACACACTAGTAGATTCAAGGAAAAGTCTATATAGAGCAGCTGGTATTTTCACAGTCCTGTGTGTGCAGTGACGGCTGTGGCGATGACCACTGTCACAGGCCACCTCCAGGCCTGGCTCTGCCTCGAGGCCCCTAACTACTATTGTTTTCTTTGCACGGTGAGCCCGAGGTAGACAGGGCTGGGCGGCTCCCATGAGCTCGTGTGCAGGGAGCTTTGGTATCTGTGTCGGGCCTCCCCTTACCTCCCACGTTGCCTCCTCTATAACGGACACTTCCTGCCTTCTGCTGCCTGGCTAGCATGCAGGGGCACTTCCCCTCCCCCCCAAGCTCTGGGAGGCCCTGAGTGGCCGGGAGCTCTGGAAGACCCACGGAGAGCAGGGCAGCACTCACCCACCACCCGTGCCGCTGCCATTCTTGCTGAAGTGTGTGCGAGGCTCGCTGGAGGCCAGTTTTAGCAGCTCTGTCCACTCTCGCTCCCATTCCTCCTCAGTGTACACCAGCCCTGACTGGCGCGAAGGGAAGCTGGTTCAGGAGGCAGCCACTGTCGCCTGCCTTCGCCTCCTCCTCCCACCAAGCCACCCAGCTGGGACTCAGCCCCACCAGGACCCAGCCGGGACACATCCGTTAGTGCCCCCTGGTGGTCACTGTTATGTATTTTCAGACATTCCAGGCCCTGATTTCAGAGCTTTTGGAGTCCTCCAATCATCAAGGTCACTCCCGGGTATACGTGGGAATGAGCGACCCTGGCTAGGGCTGACCAAGGCACAGTTTAAAAAGCCACCAAGCCATTTTACCCCAAATCTAGGCAGATTTTTCTTGTGGAGAAAAGTGCTAATATCACCATGGCTAGGCACTGCTGAGATTTTGCCTCTGGATCGAGGGGGGCCAAAGCATCACAGAACAGTGCATGTCTCCATGATGCATCATTCTCCATGCTGGGGCACTGTTAAAGCGAAGGAAGGCACTTTCCTAACCACACCAGCACGGGAGGTGTAGGTAGGAACGTGCTGCTGTCCGCCTGTGCTGCTGCGGGTTTGTAACAGGGCTCCCCTGGTATAGCGCAGTCAGAGGCTGCTCCTGAGCTGGGTCCTGTCTCTGGCAGAGGCGGGCACCAACCTCCTTGTTCTGCTGTGTCTGTTGCCATCTCCACCTCCGCTTCAGGGCTTCCCGCTCAGCACCTGTCCTCATCATGGTGTAGAGAGCTTTCCGCAAAACCAGGTCCCGGTCGTGAAAGCCCCACATTCCTGCAGCCAGGAGGTCATGAGGGACAGAGGAGGAAGGGACGTGAGGAAGAGATGAGCCAGGGGAGACTCAAAGGGTCACAGCCCAGCAGGCTGACCTCCCCCATGGGCGCACAGGAAGGAACTACCATGTCAGGCAGCTCTTTAGTTTCATCACAGGCTTGCAGCCCTCCCCCATCCCCATGCTGTGTGTATGTATGAACGAAGCGGCACTTCCTGTCCTAACAAAACAACAGCAAGTAAAGGATGAGTGCTGTGTCTCTCTGGGACTGAAGGCTACCTCTGTCTCCTGCAGGTTTTTTCTGGAGAGGCCAAATGCTCACCATAGGTCTTGTGGTTGGGTGACAGGGTGCCTCTGGGGACAGGTTAGTGACATATCCTCATGGAAGGCCCAACATCTGCATGGCCAATAGGATTCTGGCTTCCCTAAGGCCCACTAGAGAAGATGTGTGAAGTCCTAGCATAGGGCATCTGGGCTCTCTGAACAGCAGTGTTGGTTGGTACCACTGCACATGTTTAGGGCATTACAGAGACCTTGTTTCCTGGGAAGAAGGACTCCATTGAGCTAGGTGCTGAGGGACTAAAAAGAAGAACCATCTGTCACCGAGTACATCCTGTGGGTGGCTGGGGCAGTCAAGAAACCAAGTCAATGAGAAGAGCATTGGAATGAGCTACAGCCATGGCTGCAGGGGGAAAAGGAGAACCCATCTAGCTGCCAACTCACTCTTTCACCTCTTTACCATCCATCCATCCATCCATCCATCCATCCATCCATCCATCCATCCATCCATCCACACACACACCCACCCACTCACCTATGTATCTATCCATCTCTTCATCCTCTATTCATCTACTCACTCACCCACCTCTTTACCCCCACCCCACCCACACCCACCTTTCATCCATCCATCCATGCATCCATCCACACAACCATGCATGCATGTAACCATCAATGCATGCATGCACATATGCATACATGCACGCACGCATCCATCCACCCATGCAACCATCCATGCATGCATGCATCCATCCATCCCAGGTGCTGGGAATATTCATGGCACAAGAAAGTTCCTACAGTCTGTGAGTGTATATTGTAGGGAAGTAAGAAGTGAGGTAGGTATTAAATGAGCACGTAATGTTCAGTGTTCACAACACACGGGGAGACAAAGCAGGTAAAGGCAGCGAGACAGGCTCACTCATTATGGTGTGAGTGGATGGGAATGTCCACAAAAGGTTCGAATGGGTGAAGGAGGGAGTGAGTTGCCACACCAGGCAGAAGGCTCTCCAGGCATTGGTGCATTTGAGAAGAGGCAAGAAGTAAAGGTGGTTAGGCCCAGGGTGGAGGGGACAAGGCAGAGAAGAAACAGCTTGCAAATGAGCTGGGAGCTTCTAGGGTGTGCCTGGAATTGACTGTGGGCTGTGACCTCTAGACAGGCAATAGTCAAAGACTGCCATGGGCATAGTACATCTCAGGCCTTTGTCTTTTCCTACAGCACGGATGGAGAGAAACTACTCTCACTCTTCCCTTCTCATGTTCAGACATGCTTGCCTCCACTTTCCGGCATTCCCTGAACAGGTTCTGCTTCCATAGGTCTTTGAAGGTCTTTCTCATACAAGGTTTCCTTGTTTCAAACATATTTGCCTACCTGGCTCCAGGACAACTGTCATTTATTTTTTAAAAAAGATTTATTTTTATTTGTGTTTGCACAGGCACACCGGCAGGCACACCGGCAGGCACACAGCACACACACACACACACACACACACACACACACACACACACACACACACACACACACACACACACACACACACGCGCGCATGCAGTTTTCTCAGAGGCCAGAAGAGGGCGCCAGACCATTTGAAGCTGGAGTTAATAGGTGGTTGTGAGCTCCCAGTGTAGGCTCTGGAAACCAAACTCTGGCCCTGGCTCTGACTAAGCTATCTCTATAGCCCCAGTGACTGCTGTTTCTATGTGTGCCCAGTAATCCTGCTCAGTGTCAGGCCTGCTCAGCAGGTGCTCCCTGCAGTACTGAGTGCTCAGCAGGTGCTCCTGGCGGTACTGGGCATTGTCACAGGGATGCTTCTGGTAGTTCTAGAGGTATGGAGTTTTGCTGTGTCAGCACAAATGCAAAGCAAGTACAGGCTGAGGACACTTTTCTAAAATGCCTGGGTCAGAAGGGCTTTTGATCTGGGGATGTTTACATACACAGACACCGTGGGGATAGAATGCGAGTTTAAATATAAAGTCCATTGCCATTGCCTATGTACTTTGTGCACAGACCTAAAGGTAATTTCTGTTACATTCTAAGGTGATTTTTGCATGAAACAAAGGTTTATGTTGTGGAACTTCCCACTTATGGTGTCATGCTGATGCTCAAAAAGGTTCAGACTTTGGATTTTCAGATTACGGGTACACAACCTTTACTGGAATAAAGGACATGTGGGTTCCAAGCACCCTGTTTGCAGGGCATGGATAGCAAGCCTGTGTCCAGGCCAGCCGTGGCCTGACCTCTCCTGCAGGTGGAGGAAGGCCTCAGAGGCCCATCATGCTCACAGAGAAAACACCTTCAATTGAGGTGCTGGTGAGGAGGGGGGCTGAGGAGGGAGGCTCTGTAACCCGAGGCATCTGAAAGACAAGGCATCTCCAAGCTGGAGCCTTTGCAACAAGGGTGCAGAGAGACGTCTATTCGAGAGTGCCTCTCTTGCGATCTGTTCTCCAGGTTTCCAGTTTTTTTTTAATGTGAATAAAATGAATAGTTCTAGGAAAACAGTATTGAGTACTCTAAAAAATAACAACTCAATGACCAAATCACAGTTTGGAGACGAAAGGCATAGGAAATTCTTAATGAAAATTTAAGATACCTACCCTCCAAAAAAATGTACAATTATTTGTCAATTAAAAATAAAAAGAGATGTTGAAAAAGTGAGTAGAAAATGCTGGATTTGGGAGTGAACATGGTAGGACTCTAGTACTGGGAGATGATATGTGCCGGTGTTGATAGTGGTCCTCAGCTGGGGTGGGGTGGAGGTGCAGCCATGTTGGTTTTCTTATGAGTAATGTCAGCCGCAGAGTGAATTCTTTATCTTTCCTTTCTCCCTTCCCTCCTCCCTTCTTTCTGCTTTAAACTCTGTCATGGTTAGTTTTTTTTTTTTCTTTTTGTGGCGGATAACTCCATAAACATGCACTTGATAGTGAAAGTGTAAAACCCTACGTGGAAGTTTACTGAGATACAAAGAGTTTGCTATGCAAAGTATTTGAGTGACTTAATCTAGCTGTGTGGTTTCTTTTAAAGTTTTTATTTGTGATCCATAGTCATTAAGAATAAATAATAAGATTTTATGTTGTTTTCCACATGATGCCTCCAAAGTCTAGGTGCATTTTAGAATTACATAGTGCTTCCACTGGAAGCAGCTGCATTTCAGGTGTTCCACAGCCCATGGCACCGTCAGCTGCCGCACTGGAAAACACACGTCTCGGGATATCTTACGACAGTAGAAGCTTGCAAGTGATTCAACGGGCAAAATGGGGATTCCTGTCAGCGCCTGTATGCGAGTTTCCCCAAAAGTTCAGGTGATGGAATGTTTGGTCCTCAGGTGGCAGTTTTGAGAAACTGTGGAACTTTTGAGAAGTGAGACCTAACCAAGGAAGTTGCTGGGAAGTGAATGTTTTTTTAAAATTTCTAATTTAAAAAATTAATTTTTTTTAACTTGGAGATTTTTAAAAGTTTTTTGGAGAATTTCATTAGAGTGCTGTCTCCTCCCTCCAACTCCTCCTGTGTCTCCCTCCCCAGCTCCTTCTCAAATTCATGGCCTCTAATCTTTTTTATTGGTACATATACACTTAGAGATGTATAGATACCACCTGCTGAGTTCACCTAGTGTTGCTTATATGTATACATGACAGTTTAGGATTGGGTAATCTGTTAGGGAGCTCGTCCCTGGAGAAGATCGACTCTGTTTCTTGGCAGCCTTTGCTTTTATCACCGTTGTTTTTGGAGGCAGGTCTCGCTGTCCAGCCCTGGTTATCGTGGAACTCACCATGTAGAACAGGCTGGGCTTGAACTCATAGCTATCTGCTCCCTACTGCTGGGATTAAAGGTGAGCACCGCCAGGCATGCCTAATGGCAGTAGCAAAATGTGCTGGCCCTGCTGTGGGGAGGGAGCATGGAGTGACTGCCTGTGTCTTTCCCATGACCGCCATCATTACCACACACTCTAGGTCTCAGCGCCTCTGGGCCTCTCTGGGCCACATTCTGAGGCACTTTGCTCAGAGCCCTTTGCAGTGTCCTCTCAGCCTGCCTTGTACTGAGCAGGCCCCACTGGGGTCTAAATAATGTGTGGGCCTGGCCCTTGATCAGGTCACATTTAACTGCAAGATATCTTGCCTAATGAGAGTCATGTTCTTATCCAGGGGTCTTGGTCCCTTGACAGAGACAGTCTCTAGGACTGATGGAGAGCCATGGACCTGATGTTCAGGCCCCTGGTACAAATCTAGACTTGCCTGTCACACAGAGTCAACCCTGTGCATGGGAGGGAGGACCGATTCTAGGAAGTCCACTGAGACCCCGAGTTATCTCATATTGCCATGCACACCTGTATATCTGCTGATGTGGCTCCCTGGGGAAGGTAGTGAATGCATGTGCTCTGGACCTGACTGTCGTTACCTGAGTATGCCTACATCTGTCTTCTTCTCATCACAGACTGCTGTCCACAGGCAGCCCCCAAACTACCCCGTGCCACACACTGCCCCCAAGTCTTCCTGCTGGAGCCACATCCAGCATAGCTCTGCCTCTGAACACCCCGCCATTTCACGCTTTGTGTTTTGTCTGTGTTGTCTCCTGCCTACAGTGTCTTTCAAGTCTCAGTAAAGACACGGCATCCTCTGGGACATCCCCTTAGATTGCTTCATAGTGCCCTCTTCTCTAGCTGCTGTCCTTGAAGCTCCTGCTCAAGGTCTCCTGGCAAGACAGGTATTTACCCCACAGTGTTCTGTCTTGTCACCAACCCAGCCTGACCAGAAGGGCCAGGATGTCACAGGCATTCTGATGACAGCAGTATGAGTGGCTCTCCTTGTCAACCATGCATCAAACAGCCCCAGAGCCCTGTGGGCCTCTCTTGGTGCCAGGGTGCTTACCCAGTGAGGCGGCGTGTAAGAGGCAGTTCCCATCCCCTGTCGTGGCCAAAGGAAGAAGCCTTTTACAGCTCGTGCACACAGTAGACCACCAGTTCAGGCGACCTGGAAAGGAAGTTCACTTTAG